ACACACACACACACACACACACACACACACACACACACACACACACACACACACACACAGCTCTCAGAGAACTTTCTGCGTTTTCCAGGATTGATTGTTACAAGTAGAAGCAAACCTGCAGGTAGCAGTCGCATGCGGATCTCCATTCCCAATACAAAGTGTACAGTAGAGTTCCATCACCGCAGGAGTCTAACCTGCCGCACTGACTTTCCGCTGCTTTTCCAGATCAGCTGGTTCAATGCTGCTCAGATCTCTGCTTGTCCCATGATTGCAAAGAACTTGAATGAAGACGCGCTGCTGCTTTTCCAGATCGGCTGGTTCCATGCTGCTCAGATCTCTGCTTGTCCCATGATTGCAAAGAACTTGAATGAAGACGTGCTCATTGCAGTTCATGCACAACAGCTGCAGTGGCGAAATCTCGCGCAAATGCCTCTCCTGCAGATGACCACTTGATGCCGGCAATGAATTCAAACACACTACACCAAAAACTGCAAAAAACTGCAAAAAACTGCAAAAAACTGCAAAAAACTGCAAAAAACTGCAAAAAACTGCAAAAAAAACTGCAGAGAGAATGTGAATGCGAGCAATGACAATCTGTCGAAGACCAGGACCTAATGAAACGAAGTTGAATTCGTGAGATGGACTGCCAGAAAAGGTTCTAAAGAGCAAAATGAGACTAACGTTCAGCAAAATACTCACGGTCGTCTTCAGAGTACTGCTACCTGCTCAACAGGTCTGGACTTCCCACAAGTTCCCAGACTCCAGAGTCCAGAGTGAATTGATCTTTGAAGACAAAAAAAGATTACTGAAGAAAAGGTCTGAACAAGAGGGGGGGAAATCCAGATTCCATCATTCCATGTCTGAGTGTACCCCTCTTCCTGTTTCCTTCCTAGCAGCTGGCTGCTGCTCTTGGCGCAGACTGAAACATGTACCACCTCATAGCCAATTACTCAAATACCCACTGCCTCTTCAAAAATCATGTGGAAAAACTTCAAAAAAGAGAAAAGGACGGAAAGGAAAACCTACCGCACCCGTCGTCACTCCGGGTCATCGATTCAACGGGACCAACTGAGAAAGCGCAGGGTCGCAGACCTCCTCCTAACTAGGGTTTGCTCCCTAAAAAACTGATAAGCTGGGGGCTCTATCAATCACTTCTATCCTACCTACAGAATATTACAGGGCATTTCTGATGGCAATTGACGAGCTCGCACCGCCATTTCTTTCCTGATCACCGGGCTGAAAGAGACGCGGCAACGACGCTTGTACTGAATCAGATACGTAGCACCTGAGGCACTCGAGACCGAGATGTAGAACCAGAATCACTCGCGACCGATATGTAGTGCTAAAATTACTCGAGAATCTTAAGAGTATAATTAAACGCATGGTTGTTAATTACCATGGTTATCCAACTTATCCTAGTATGATGCGAATCATCAGATCATCAGTGAACATTGATTACTGACTGTCATATGAGAGCTGCTAGTCCTCTTAGTAGGCTAGCTACCTAGCGTGAATTCGTCATCGATCTACAACTTCCATCTACAGATATATTAGTGATCAGATTAATGATATATGTATATAAGATAATATAATATATATATCGTCAAATAGAAGATAATATAATATATATATCGTCAAATAGATATATATATATCGTCAAATAGAACTGCCCGGTAAACCGTAGGCAGAGTGTGACAAAATATACATATATTTGTATGCACTTTGTACATATTTGAGTCCAGATCACCTAATACGACTGCCATCAGTGATGAGAATGGCGGAACGAGACAAGGTCCGAGGAAGACTGACTACAAGCAAGACAGGCGTGGAAACAGAGCCGCTGCCTATCGGCCCTGTCCCACCTCACACATGAGACGGTCTGCTGCGTACCGTGACCCTTGGGGAAACACAAGAGGCCACATTGACCCTTCGCAAAACACAAAAGACCACCACGACGAGTCCAGCTTCACAAAGTTGACGCCAACGCCGACTTAAAAAAATATGTCGATTCTGAAGTGCCCGTGATGGTTCTGGCCAATAGAGATCATTCAGACAATACACAGAATGGTGAGGCAGAGAGGCACCACCACCACCACCAGCAGCAGCACTACCACCACACCCGGCACAAGCAAGATATGAAATATGCAAGAACTTGGTGTGTTGATCGCATTTCGGCGTGACATTTTCGGATCTCAAGGTCCCCAGGACCAGCCATTGTCAAACACATTGCACTGAGCTGAACAGCTCTCACTGCTCTCCCATGAAGCGGTTCAGAAATTCTCGACATACAAAAGAGCGGAAAAGAAAACGCCGCGTTCCGAGGCATCGGAAGTCTACTCTGCAAATCGTGGCCCCGGAGTTCCCACTGCTTCTCTCCGAAAATTCACCGAGGCATTCATTATTCCCCATATTATCACTTTGATGCCTCGCCAGTACAACCACAACCTACGACTGCCTGCCGCCATCTGATCAAACTGACGCTGTCGACATCGACCCCTGGCCCACTGAAGCTCTGTCAAAGCGCACCAATTTGAAAGTGAAGCAGCCAGTCTGAGAAAGAAAGTCTGACCTGGATTCAAAAGTATGGCAAGCGTTCCACTGTTGTTCCACACATGAGACCAACCCACGTCCTTCCTGTCGTGATCACTTCGCGCATCCCGCATCACATCAGATTCTCCAGGAGCGGATGGTTCAGGCATGGAGAATGCAAGGGAGATCAAATTCGAACGGAAGCAAACCATTCGCCACGCAAAACATCATCATCTCACCAAGAGCAAGGTCCTACTTCCTCGAACTGTGTTTATAGCTGTTGATCCTTGTAATCTGTGCGGTTCAGAACGTAGAATCCAGTCAAAGATGGACCTAGACCTGGTTGACCAAGCAGAACATGATAATAGTGTACGACACAAGGCAAAGGAGTACGTCCAGCTTGTACAGCAGCCCCTTGCTGACAAGTAAGACGTGCGATGGGTCCTTGCATTTGCACTTCTGCCTTGTCAAAGATCCAGCTAAGAACTGGTCACTTGATGGTGGTAGGTGCGATCATAGCTCTCGACAAAAGCTGACAGCAGCCTCGGCAGGCATGAAGTCGAAGAACTATGAAACAAAAACATAAAAATGACAAAACCGAACAAGCATCCTGGGATGCTGCTGCTAGCCCAATATCCGAGGAATGTTCTTCGCGCCAATTCACGAAAGAAAAAGATCTCAGACATCTGAAGGCAGCAGCCGACAAAAGACAAGCCGGTGGACATATTGCGACGAAGTACAAGGCTGTGGCGATTTGTGGCCCATAAGACAATCCATGACACATTGCGATGAAGTACAAGGCTGCGGCGATTTGTTGCCCATGAAAGGCTTCTAGAAAAGGCTGTCTGGTCAAAACTTCAGATTCCGAGATTCTGCTGCTGTAATTTGTCGTTCATGAAGGCTCCTGAAAAAAGGCCGACTGCCTAGGGTCAGAATCCTGACAAGGCTGATTGTCTAGGGGTCAGAAAATCCTGACAAGGCTGACTGTCTAGGGTCAGGGCTGCCTGTCTAGGGTCAGGGCTGCCTGTCTAGGGTCAGAATCCTGACAAGGCTGACTGCCTGGTCAGAATCCTGACAAGGCTGACTGTCTACGGTCAGAATCCTGAAAAAAGGCTGACTGTCTAGGGTCAGAATCCTGACAAGTCTGACTGTCTGGTCAGAATCCTGACAAGGCTGACTGTCTACGGTCAGAATCCTGAAAAAAAGGCCGACTGTCTACGATCAGAATGCTGAAAAGGCCGCCTGTCTGCTCAGAATCCTGACAAGACTGACTGTCTAGGGTTAGAATCCTGAAAAGGCGGACTGTCTAGGGTCAGAAAAGTTCGGATTCGACGGAATGAATTTCTGCTTCTGCCAAAGACAGAGGCCTGGGTTTGCTTTCAACTTGTCCTCGGCTACAAAAAAAACTCAAATCAGCCTTCCAGGCTTCCACATTAGATGGTGTCTGATAATGGGTCCCCAGGTCCAGAACCAGGACCTCTGAAAAAACAGCAGGATCACAGACGCCAGCTTTGAGCGGGAAAGGCTACGGAACTAACCTCGAGCTAAGGAACCACCAAAACAAAAAGAAAAGGGGAAACAAAAACGTGAAAGGAGCGTTCAGTGTTCACAAAAAAACGATGGCTTTTCCGCAGACGAGGGAGTCCGACCGGAAACTCTGCGCAATGCTTGCGATTGAATGCAATACAATCAACGACTAAAAGTTCAAAAATCGCTAAAATACCTACAGTGGCGAGAAGTTTCATCTAGTATTTATTAAATTTTATTTCATACGTGCACACTCTTGGCATCTTCACATGTCCCCCTCCTCCTCCCAGGCACGCCGTCGGTAAAGTAACGACCACAACCGAAGAAAGTCAAACTGTTAGAGTAGTTTTCAAAGTCAAACCGGGACTAACTGCCCTCCCTCAAGTGCCTCTGGGCATATCATTCAGCTCCGCACAACCTCAAGGCACAGTTTTTCCTGTGTGCTTTGCCTTTTACAGTATACCCTCCTGACCATCCTCTCCACATACAGAATTATTTGCGTTTTCTGAACTGATTAACGTTTTTAAAACTTCCCGCCAACTTTCCAATCACCCCCGCAACATAGTTCCTCGAAAAACTAGTCAACAAGCGTTTTCCTTATTCTCTCTCTCTCTCTCTCTCTCTCTCTCTCTCTCTCTCTCTCTCTCTCTCTCTCTCTCTCGTCATGTACTGCGTGCATCTAATATGGCTATGTTAGTATGTTTACAACTGCCTGCCGATCTCTAAATCACAGGGGAGGCAGGCATCAACCGACATTCAAAGCTCACAACATTGCAGCCACTGCAACAATCATTTATCTCCTTTTTCCAGCGCCAGCTGCAAGTCTCCATCTTTTTGTTGCTCTCAGTGGGAGCTCCCACTGGTGAAACAATGCGGAAACTTCATCCTCCTCATCTTCATCTTCCTCCTCCTCCTCCTTTCTTTTTGACACCTTTGCGGTGGTCCTTGACGTTGGTGTTGGTGGAGAGCCCCTCTCCCTCGGTTTCTCAACCCTTTCCACAGCCATGACAGCGATATCCGACTCGAGGATGAGCGGTTGCCAGGAACCTGTTCTGCTGCCTGCATCCAGGTTATCGCTATATGCATCCAGGTTATCAATCTCAGTTGACGGCATTGCTTCCTTCGTTACTCGACTCGAAGTGATGAGATGACGTTCCACCTGCTCCTTCCCTTGACGTTCATAGGTAACTCTATGTTCCCTCTGTTTTGAGACAATTGGGCTGAAGAATATCGGGGCCGCGGTGGGAGTCTCTGGAGCTGCAGCTCTATCATGACTGAAATTGTCAGAAACCTCGCTAAGGCTGCCTTCACTGGCTGGTGCCCTTGCATGTCTGGGAGTACCCTTTGGGGTGCCTTTTGGGGTACCCCTTGGAGTGACTCTGGGGGTGTGTCTAGGTGTGATCTTGGTCGGGGTGTGTCTAGGTGTGATCTTGGTCGGGGTGCTCTTAATCGGCGGCCTCTTTTCCCCCACTTCACCTACTATCTGACCAATGTCTGACGGGGTCTCGGGGACGGAAACCTCAGATCCTGCCGTGAACTCAAACTTCTCCCGCTTCTCCGGGATGGGAACCTCAGATCCCGACTTGAACTCAAACTTCTGTGGTATGAGAACCTCAGATCCCAACTTGAACTTCTCCAGCTGTGGACGAAGTTTGTCGACTTCAACAGCCCTCTGAGGTGTATGTCCTTTTGGATACCTCTTGTCCTGTAAATCATGACTACTGCTGCTGCTGCTGCTAACCGCCGAGAAGAACGATTCGATCATTCCAAATATGACACCACCTGCAAATGCGAGCTGACGAATGAGCAATGGGGCGAGGGGGATCTCATTCAATACCATGAGTACCCTATCCCAAGCGTCTCTCAGTTGTTCTTCATGGCTGAACCACAACTTGGCCATGGTTTCTGCCAGACAATGACTCTTCAGTAGGTTCAGGACATTACTGACTGAATCAACCAACCCGCCAGCGAGCCGAAACATCTCTCCTGCAGTGGCACTTCTCATAATGAATGATGACAGCGACGGACCCAATGGTGATGACAATGATGATGATGATGACGATGATGACGACGATGAAGCGTTGATGATGATGATGATGATTCGTTGATGATGATGATGATGATGATGATGATGATGATGATGATGATGATGATGATGGCAGCAACAGACTTTACAGGTGAATTCGCAAGCACTCAGTTCACGTTGTGAACAGCTCCAAGAATACCAACATTGCCGAGGTATCAAAAGCAGAAGGATAGGAACATCCAATATTACCTGCCTGAGCTAGAGTCCCAGTATGTGAGAGAATAAAAGGTTTCCCTCAACCAGCAAGTATCAGCCACTGACAGCCAGTATTGCCTGCTCCAGAGTCTAAATTAGTAGACTCCCCATGATCTGCAAAAGAACCCGCATTGTACCTATGTTGTGACTAGGCATCTGCAAGGCAACCGCAGAATATACTTATGGTCGTTGCTCGTGAATCAAAGGTCAGATATCGGGGAACAACCTTATTACAGAAAGATATTACCCAAGGCATCTGTGTCCAAGTGCATGAGAGCGAACAGCAGGACAAGGGCCTCGAGCACCAGCCAGGGGGCCTGCTCCAGAGTCAACAGCGAAACTACATCAGATTCACCATCTGCACGCAAGACAACCACCACATTCATCACACAGGCCCGTCAATGATTTGTCAGACCGTTGGGACATACCATACCCCCCCCCCCCTGCAACCAAAAGAAGTCTGGGCCCCCCCTTTTTTTATTTTTGAATTTTTTGGACTCGGCCATAACGTGAAACAATTTCTCAGTACCACTGAGCCTAGCTCAGTTGGTTCATTGGTACTCCCATGAACTGTTGAAATAGTAGAAATAGAGACGGAAATGGCAAAACAATTTCTTTACCTGGGGCCAGCAGTTCATCGATGATATCTCAAGGCTGTCGCCCACACTTGCACCATGTGATTGGTGAATCACGATTTTGCGTCAGATATAGTCGCAATGATGATGTGTTCGCCCCATGACTTATACCCGCCCTTGGTCAAATGTACTTCGTTTGGCGAGGCCAATGCCCCTTCGCCTTTCACATAGCCAAGCCCTCGATCCCCTTGGTTAATCCAAAGACCGCCTGCTCTTTCTACTTTATCATCTTAGAGACGTAGACTTCCAAACAGGACACTTGCACCCCACGATTCGTGATTTACGATCTCGCATCATGAAACATATGAGACGACTGCAAGGGAGCTTTGGAAGGAATACACCCCAAATTCAGACAAGTGCCACCGGGACTCCCGCAGCTTCTCCACACACGTTGTCTTGAATCCAAACTGAGCGGCCTTGATGGCTGCCACGTAACCTCCCAGACCTCCACCAATCACCACCACTACATTACATATATGCATACATGTATGTTATGCAATCAGACTTGTCTCAACTTCACTCGCAACGTGCATACTCGTAGACGTCGATCACAAACAACTTCTTCAGCACGAAGATCAGCAACAAACTTGGGATGGCACCTAGCGCCCACACAGAAAACTCCAAGATATGGCCTTCGGCCAAAAATACAGCTTAAGTCAACTTGTTACATCTAGCGGCTATGGCTGCTGAACGCCATCCGAATTCCCACCCAAACATTGTATCCACCGTTAGACATATCTCACTCACTCACATACATGCACGCACGCACTAGGATCTACCCTGAATGTCCACGCATCCTCGCACACACACACACTACACGCTAATGTGACGTCAACACTCGGCAGCTATGGCTGCCATTGTCTTCCTCCTCTAGGTGGCTATGGCCGTCGTCATCCACCTCTGCCCTTTCGGTCACCGGGCACCTGCAGACCTCCTTGCACAAGTCGCACCAGCAGCGCTTCTGCATGGCTCGCAGGCGAATGAATGAATGGCTACATGCTACTGTGACGTCAACACTTGGCGGCTATGGACGCCATAGTCTTCCTCCTCAAGGTGGCTATGGCCGTCGTAATCCACCTCTGCCCTCTTCATTGCCCTGCACCTGCAGACCTCCTTGCACAAGTCGCACCAGCAGCACTTCCGCATGGCTCGCAGGCGAATGAATGAATGGCTGAGCGGTGCCTCTTTATTTATACTGTTTTGTCGGTGCTCTGGCCTGCTGGCGGTTCCAGGCCCAAACATGTGCAGCCCCACCTGGTACTTGCTGACTGGACAAGGTGGAGTGGGACTGGGAAGTGCTGACTGGACTAGGTAGACTGACCGACTGACTTCTACAGCCTCGAAAGGTCAAGTTGATGCTTCTAGAACCTCCTAGGCTAGCGTAGACTGACCCTTCGCTGTACGTAGGACTAACCTGGCTGACTGACCCTAAGACTTCTAATCCTATGGTCTACGGTTCGAGTCCCCATGACCCAACTAACATGCAGAACGACCACCTACGACTTTAGGGACAGGTCGCGGGTTCGAGGCATACCGGGTCAACGGGTAGATGTACAGGGGGTATGGGTGGGTCTAGGGATCGAGCCCTGGGATCTGCACTGTGGCGCAATCTGGGTGAAACCGTATCCCTCCCGCCACCCTAAATTCGAGTTCCCCCGAACTCTCTAATCCAAGGCAAGACCTTTACCCTCCCTTGCCCTCTCGTAGGCATGCACCATGTCGCAAGAGGTCTCTAGAAGCTCAGTTCTCGTGAACCACCTGTCGTCCTCAGGTTCTTGGTAAGCAAACCTAACTTTATATTGCTTTTAGGGATGACCCCAACCTCCAGTCCTAAAAACGTCTTCTTCCACTATGCGATCTGTGTCGTATGTGCAATCCATATCTGGCGTGATCATAGATCTCCGCGAAGGAAACTGTTCGCAGGTCATGCATGGCAATAACTTTGATGCATGGAAGATTGGATACGTATGGAGCAGTGGTATCTCTATGGTGTACAATGGTCTGTCCTCTCCTCCTTAGTTCTAGGACAGGCCATGGCCCTCTGTACACCGGTAAGAGCTTCGATGAGATGTTTTCCTATGGTGCGACTGGGTTGCCTACCTGGAACTCTGAAGATGGGCGATGTTGATTTGTTTGCTCAATCATGCGAAGCTGGGCCTTTCTAAGGTTTTCGACCACCCTAGCCACTTCCTTTTCGTGCTGCAAGGCAAATTCTCTAGTACCGGGAGGTAACCTCTGAATCTGGTCCCGATTCAACCCTTCAAACGGCGTACGCGGTCTACAGGACTTCCGCAGCTCGTTAGGAGTTCGACAACTAGCTAGGTGTACACATTTGTTATCAGTGCTAGCCACCTTGCGGAGCATCTCATCCTAGTTCTCTTGATCTGGTCGAATATACATCCTGAGTAGTTGCTGCACAATCTTATTTATCTGCTCTATCCGACTGTTTGTCTGTAGATGACGACCTGACGATATCAACAACTTAAAGCCGTAAACCTTCATAAGATCCTGCCAGTTCTGGCTAGTAAGCCGCGTGTCTCAGTCACTAACTATTGACAACGGTACGCTATGCTCGCTTACCCATAAATAAAAAACTTTGCTATCACTGCGTTTGTTCTTGCCTCTGCTGGTAATGGTACAAAAACGACATATTTCTTAAGCCGATCGACTATAACCATAACTTGGCTTTTGCCATGCCTACTCCTAACTTCGATATCCATAAAATCTATAGAAACACTCTCCGGGTCCTATTGGAAGAGGCAAGGGTCGGAGAAGACCTAATGGTGCTCGTGTCGGAGTCTTGTTGCGCTGGCAGACTTCGCAATGCAAACATATTCTATGCACTTTGGTTTCATGTCGGGCCATGTATACGACATCATAAGGTTGCCTAAGGTCTTTTGCCAACCGAAGTGCCCTTCTGCATTATGGCATTCCCCTAAGATCAAGCTACGAATCTCCTCGTTATTGGGGATGCACAATCTGACAACGACATTGGTCTTCTCAAACAGTAGCCCGTTCGTGGTTCGATAGTTAGATACTATCAGGGGTTTCTTTCACTCGTTTTAGCAGGTCGCTGATGATTGAATCCATAGCATACACATCATTTATCTTTTGCTGCAGTTCCGCCCCTATATCCAAATGGTGTACTATCGCGCCGAAGTAATATGTTTTTCTTCTTAGTGCATCGGCTACCACGTTGTACTTACCATTAAGGCATGAGCTCAAAGTCAAATTGATCTATTCCAGCAACCCATCTAGACAACTTGGGCGTCATCTTGGCTTGCATCTTCAGCCACCTTAGGGTCTTGTGGTTTGAATCGACTTTGAAGTGCCTCCCAAGCAAGTGGTGCTTCCAATGATCTAAGGCCTGACTGAGAGCCTAGAGTTCTCTTTCATATGTTGAGGCCGCTACCTTTTCTGAAGGCAGCCTAGCGGTCATGAACTCTTCGGGTCGTAATATAGCGCCTAATATAGCGCCTATGTAATACTGACTGGCATTTGCCATGACAACAAATGGCAACGAAGGATCGACTACTTCGAGAACAAGATACTCTACCAAGGCCCTCTTCAGCTCCTTGAGGGCCGAGGTGCAATCTTGGTCCCACTTCCAAATTGCTTCCTTTTTTAGGAATCTGCAAAGGGGAGCAGCGATAGTGGAGAAGTTCCTTACGAAATTATGATAATAGTTGGCCAATCCCAAAAATGAACGCAACTAGGTCATAAGGCGAGGAGTTGACCAATCTATAATCGACGCTATCTTACTGTCCTCTGGTTCAATGCCGTCTCCATCCAATACGTGGCCCAAGTCAATGATTTTGTGTCGGCCCACTCGCACTTCTTCGCGTTGATCTTGAAGTTACGTAGCTTTCCCAAGATCTGCCTCAGATGAACCTCATGTTCCTCGAGGGTCTTGTTGAATACTAAGATATCGTCTAAGTAAACTACGACGAATCTATCTAGCCATAATCTAAATTAGTCATTCATACAACGCTGGAATGTGGCTGGTGTGTTAGTGTCCAAAGGACATCACTATAAACTCATAATGCTCGTATCTAGTTTGAAGCGTCGTCTTGTATTGATTGTCAAGGTGTACCTCTATGTGGTGGTATCCTGACCTCAAATCTATCTTCATGAAATACTGACATGTTGCATCCGATCTAATAGATAATGTATACAAGGCAGTGTTCTACATTCTTGACTGTTATGGCATTTAGACTCCTACAGTCTATACACATTTTAAATTTCCCCCCTGTCTTTGGGTAGAAAAGAACAGGTGCGTCAAAAGGAGATGAACTAGGTTTGACCCATCCTTTTTCTAGGAGCTCGTCGAATTGCTCGTGTACCTCCTCTAACTCCTTGGGAGACACTCTATAGACTGCCCCCTCAGATGTTCTTCTGCCAGGCCTCATCTCTATGTTGTGCTGGTTAGGTCTTGGTGCTACCCCTGAAGGTGCTTCAAACAAATCTACTCCTCCAGCAAACTGGCAATAGTGGGGTGAGTTTCTTTTCCTTCCTTTGGCGTGTCTATGACTGGTCTAACATAGGTGACGAACACCTGTTCCTCGAGTTGCTCCTCTCTGACAAGTCTAGCAAACACAGGAGCGTTGAGGCAGCAATGTGTCAAGGAGTTGTCTACCCCTGACTCGTAACACAGGCGATCTTTCTTGACCCCATCTGACGGGCAAGGAAGCCTGCACTCGTGCTCTTGAAGGTGCAAAGTGAC